CACAGAAAGAAGATCTGAGTGTGGATTAAATGCTGTGGAGAGATCTGAAATGGGAAAACATGCAAGAAAACTCTCAAACATCTGTAACTGAGACAGGTCAACATGTTCAGCCAGATGTGTGAGGATATGCCCCTAATGCAGGAGGAGGAACAGCTTCTAATGCAGTGTCTGTGAAGGGTTTCAGTCATCCAGGACATAGTCTAAGGAGCTTGAAAAGAAAAGTGTCTGGACTTTTTTAAGTTTCTTGAAGACATTTCATTCGGAAGCTTGTTCAGTTCTAAAATCAAATGGTGGAGAGTCTCAGATTTTAAGCCCTAGTGGGAGGATCGTTGACCAACTATTGATTATGTGCTTCATCGAATGAGCCAAGGTGTAAAAAAGGGTGTGGCTCATTATCAGTGGAGGTTTTGGGTGAAACCATGTGTAGGTGGCAGACAAAGGACAGAGAAGTATGAAAGAGGAGTGAAAGAAGTAGGGCTGGGTATCATCACTGATTTCTATAATTGGTTCGGTTCCGATTCACAAGGTCCAGATTCAATTTTGACCCAGACAGTAGAAATATTATAATTCTGGTCATTTATCAGTACATATCCATATATTATGTATCTATGTATAAAAACAAAGTTGACACTTGTGAGACTTTGTCAGAGGTGTGAGCATCACAGCAGATGTCTGGCGTTTTATAGCAGAGAACCATCTTAAAAATATTCTGCAGTAGATCAAAAACTGAAGAGAAATATGAATCAACATATGAAAATTACCTGCTGCTGAAGTGAAGCAGAGCGAAGTTACAGAGGTTTTATTAGAGACACAGCTAAGCAATCATTTGTAAAAGGTTCAATTTCTGAGGCTTTTATGTCAGAAGTCGACAGCACTGAATACAACAGTAGACTGGTGCGTAATTAAGCAGTGAATAATGCAGAAAACTGGGATTTTTGACAGTAAACTGGTCTCTGAGTACACTGAGAGAGAGTGAGAGAGCTGTACAGGAACTGTGATTTTATTGTGGTGGAAGCAAAACAGCCAAAGTAAGAGGGAATTAATGATGATGTTTATCAGACGTGAAAGGTAGTTTTGATCTTCTTTTGCTGCTGGTTCGGTGAATTTTGGTCAGAGCGGCATCTATGAGATGTCTGCGTACGTGCCGTTGGGTGAACGATCTGCACTTTGTGTTTACATCTTTGTGCAGAATCCATTTACCTGCTTTCATTTGCTGTTTTAGCTGTTTGGTGGTTGTTAAAATAGTTTTGTAAGCTTTCACCGTAGATTCTGGTGTTTATGGCAAAAATACATTTATATTTAAAAATCGATTCAGGATTCAATGAATTGATATCGCGTTATTTAAGCTAAAATAGATTTGAATCGGAAAATCGATTTTTTAAAACCCAGCCCTAAAAATAGAAGCCATCTATGTCCACTGTGAACAACCATCTTTGAACAGAGGGCGGGGCTTATGACACCAACTGTCAGCCACATACAATCCAGTTTTGAGATCCTTCCCAGGCGCGTTAACACCCACTCACATATTGTGTCAGTTGATCTTAATAGGTCACATGATAGTGTGAGGCAAGGTCTCGCAACTCTCAGATTAAATGTCTTCATCCTCCTTCTACTTCAGTGTTTACACACAGGAACGTCACATCATTATACCTGTCAAATAAATGAATAAATAGATGTTTGTAAAATGATTTTACCTCCTCTGTACACACCAAGGCAGTCACACTTGTTTCCTCAGATCCTCTAAAAAAAGGCACAACAGGAAATGATGGAAGAAAAAATCACTGCAGGATTTCAGATTTTCTCAGCCTTCATCTTAGCAGCTGTCAAACAATTTCCAACCAATCGGAGGTGTCGACTGCAGACATTCGGTGTTTGGTTTTAATATGATTTTGTGACGATCTGAAGTTTAAAGTGAGCTCGTGAAAAATAATCAGGTTGCTGAATATTTGAACCTGATATTTGATCATTTTTCATCATGTGTTTACAGATTTGTGGCTCATACGAACTTCAGTCTACAAAAACACACTCTTAATAAAAGATGTTTGTTTTTTTTATTTGCAAAATGGCCATATTTGGAAGAGACGGTGGATTTATTAGCTAATGTGAGCTACTTTCAAACAGACTCACTGCTCAGCAGCATCCAGTCAAAATCCTTGAATTTCACTGTGCACCTAAACTGGAGCTCAGACGTCTTGGAGAGTCTGCTCGTACAATTAACAACATTATTATTATTGTGGTCAGATAGCAGCATTAAAAATGCTACATGCAGGGATTTCAGGTTATGGTACCCTGCTGTGGACACTTCTGCTGAATGTGACACTGACAACTAAAACACTATTAAAGTCCTCTAAACATTTTACCTATTAATTGATTAATTTAGCCTAGTATGAAGGGGCAGCAGAAAAAGCTGTAAACGTATGGGAAGTACTAATTGTATGCCTCTTTCAAGCTGTCCAGTGGACTGGAGTCTTTGCCGGGCTGATTCTGGCCTCCGGGCCTTATGTTTGGCACCCTTGCTGATGTAATCCACTAATTCTCACAGTCTTTAACAGAGATGTTCAGCTCAGCCTCTCTCCGAATATCTTTTATACCGGTCATGTGACCAGTAAAACTGATACTGGGGGTTTTCTTTGTCCTTGGACTTGTTTAATTAAATCAATCCCTTATTAGGCTCTGGATTGTAGTTTGAGCAAAGACAACATGTAAAAAAAGGTTTTTGTGATTTTCCTGTTTGAACTGACAGTTTTCTTCCACCTGCACATGTCTGACCTTTAATCTCTGACTTTAATCCAGTTTTCAATTTTTATAATGTGTTTTTTCCCTCATGTTAGTTTTTATTTATAGTTTGACATCTGGGCTCTTTTTATGTGAACACCTGTCACTGCTGGTTTAAATAAAGGTTGAAAGGCTCAAATGCAGCGTGCCAGTTTATCTATGAACACAAATTAAATGTTTGAATACAGTTTGTTGATATTCAAATCTTCACTTTAAAAACGAGAGTAGTAAAAACATGAGATTATAAAACGAGTTAAACTGTGTCACATCTTCAAACACCTGATTACAGGAAGGAAAACACACCTGTCTCCTATTGAAAACACAAAAGCATTTACTTTCTGGGGTTTCCTTGTCTGGACGATTGTGTTTTTGTGTGTTGATGTGTGTACAAAGTAATTCACCTAGAAAAGCTGCTGCACACATTTGTACAGATGTGGACAAAGTGGAACCTGAAATTTAATTCTTCTCTAGTTTTCAGGACCTGGACCCTGATCCAGGAAGCTGGATCAGCTAAAACTCTGAGTTTCTTAAGCCTGACTCTCCATCTTTGTAACGGAGAGCTCTGGAAATGTAATCTGATTACATTTACTGCAGATTTGCCATTTACATCCCTGTGATCAGTCATTTATCAGGCTGATCATTGATTGATTATTGGTCACTATGATGGACAAATGTTGGATCTTGGTGTGAATATCTCAGTAAAAATGGATAGCTGAAATGACTTTCTAAACGAGACGAGTTTAAAGAAGCAGCTGCTGAAAGTAACAAGTGTAATCTAAAGGTAATCTGATTACATTTTGTGTTCACAGACAGATCCACCCATGTCAATGACTGTTAAACAACATTTTAAAGGTTCAAAGTCTGAAAGTCACCTGAATCAGTCTCGGCACGTGACCCAGAATTACCCCGAAGGAATCATAGGCTCACACACAGGAAGTTTTCCAAAAACTTTTATTTTGTAGAAAAACAAATAAACAAAAAACCCATCACAGTGTGTGTTTGTGTGTGTGAGTGCACTTATGTTGGTTTGGTGAGCATCTGGCTGGAGAAATCATACAAATCTTTGTTCATTTTTTTCAGAGTCTGAACTTCTTCTTCGAGCTCAGCGATTCTAACCTTCGTGTTCTCGCCATCACCAAACACCGACTGAAAACACAAACAAAAAACAAGCAATTACACATCACAGGAAAAAAAACAATCTCTGTCATCTGTCTCCAAACATCGTCCTCTGCTCAACGAGCTCACCAAAAACACTTTTTTCCCCGTCCCTTTAAATACAAGACATGACTGGTTCTGCACCAGATGATCCTGCCGCTAGGAGGTGTTTGCCCCCATTATCATCATCAACAGTACCAACAGTAACTGCAACTTCAACATGCTTTCTTTCAACATGCGGCCACTGACTAGGGGGTGAAAGTTGTGGTTCTAAAAAGACTCAGTCCTGACATTAAGTTTCAAATGGAGGGTTTTTGCTGTACAGCTTGAGCCTGGTTCTGCTGGAGGTTCCTTCTCTTTAAAATAGAGTTTTTCCTTCCCATTGTCACCAAACTACTTGCTCATAGGGGGTCAATATGATTGGTGAGGTATTCTGTTTTCTTTCAATTATAGTAGGGTCTTTACATTACAATATAAAGCACCATGAGGTAGGTGTGTGTAATATATCAAGTTTTTCCACATACAACGGTTAAAGTGGCTTTATTGTAACCATCGAGTATAAATTGCCATGGGAATATTAAGCTGTCTGCATATAATTCACTGAGATTTTTTTCCTCACACACATTGCCAATGCATCATTAACCCCCACCCCACCCCAAAATTTTCTACCTGCCACACTGGGCTGAGCATGCGCATTTATATACTACTAGACAGGGGAAAATATAGCGACAGCTGGAGTTTCAGACTCGCTGTCATTTGGATTTCACAAGGACAATGCTGCACAAAATGCAGTAATTTGCAAAAACATGCCGTAAAACTACACAGGTCAACAATTTTATTTATTTATTTTTTTTGCAATCATCAGAAACCACAAAACACTTTTCTAAACTGTTTTTTCATGCTGATTTCAGGTCTGCTTTCAAAAAATTTCAGTTACATCAGCCAGATAATTTTGAATTATGAGTAATATTAGTTTGCAATGGACCTTCACGCAGTTTTTATTAAACAGGCACCAATCAAGCAACTGTTTCAATATTTTCAGTCAGATCGGCGCGCTCTGTGGCATAGATATGATGATCAGTGGCAGTCAGCTACCACTGTTTCTTCAAAAAAATCCTTAGCATATGATTTTCTTGTGCACACTGTGTCTGGATTGTCAGGGTACAGCGTCCAGCAGTAGTCGGCCATCATGCTCTCATTCCAGAAACCTTAGTAGTGACGCTCCATTAACTGAATGTCCTGATGAAAAGGCTCTCCCTGTTCATCACTCACCATGCCAAGATTTTCTGGAAAGAACTTGAGGCCTGCGTGCAGGAAGTGTATTTATTTTCAGTGACATGCGACAGCCCAGTTTCTGGTAGGAATCAAGCAGAAGCTGAACTCCTTCCATGTATGCAGAAAACTTGTGGATGCCCAGAAAGTTTTTGCCACTTCAATTCCTCCCAAGCTTTGAACTCGGCTGTTGAGAGAGATTGTTTGAAGCCTTCATTCTGCAAAATGGACTTGATCTGTGGACCTATAAATAAACCTTCATTCATTTTTACACCGCTTATGTTTGGAAACCTTTCAGTGGGGTAATGAAAGCTGCATGCATTCCCTTTGCCTACGGCCTCGACAAGATTCTTCATCAAGCCTAGCTTGATATGGAGAAGCGGCAAAAATATTTTACGCGGCTCAACCAGAGGCAGAAACTCGATACTGCTTTTTCCTGGCTCATAGGCATCTCGTGGCTGCCAGTCACCCTAGACATAATGTTCCACAGTAGATCGGCTGTCCCACAGGCACAGGAAACTATTCGGTGAATCCTCTGTGAAAGTATTTGGTGAATCCTCCTCGCATTCCCGTCAACATACCAATCACCTTCAGATCACCACCGATGATGTTCCACTAATGAGTTTTATACCCAAATGATTCAAGCAGTGTCTTCATGTTGTCATCGGACTCCCTTAGATGAACAGAATGGGCAATCGGCACACTTGGTTTGGCATTTCCGTTATGGAGTAGGAGTGCCTTCGAGCTTTTTTATAAAGAATGAAAAGACACCATTTAGTTGGAACATGCTGAAGAGTCTGTTGATGTCATGACAATGGCACATTGAGCCGTCAGTTGTGAAGAACGCTGTCAAGTTATGACTTCAACTATGACTGTAGTGAGTTACAGTAACACCCTTGGCAAACAAATGCTTCTGCTTAAGCCTCGAAG